ATTGTGTAATATGTGTTGTTGTTCATTTGAGGTTGTATTTATCTACTTTTAAGAACTATTAAGGACCAGATGGTTTTACTATGTCCTGATGCATAAAACCATAGAAATCAAAGAGGGTGTACTTTCTTTTTCACATGATTATATGTGGCATATTTTATTCAATACAGAGTATTCTGCCCAGACAGAACAGGTTGCCTTCAGTTCAATCCAGGACAGATAGATAACTCGATAGAAATAATTGAAAAACAGATAAATATGTTTATCCAGAGGAAATACTTGCGATTATATTGTCTTTCTTCTGTATATTACTCATCTGTTCATTTCTATAGGTAAATTGATGATGAATTTACCCTCTTCTTCTGCATAAGCATCACATGTTGGCATAGAACCTCCAAGCTGTGGCTAGGAGACATGAGGCTAGACAAACAAAGACATTCCAAACTGGGCATGTAGCCAGTATATCCTGAGAAGAACTCAGAAACTCCTCCCAATGACCCATTAACATGAGATGACTGACTAGCTAAACAACAGCATTTAACTCAATAAATGCCAGATATTCTAACATACTGATACACGCTCTCTAGTTAGGGTTACATAGAGCTATACGATCCAGAACACTCCCCTCTTCGAAATTTATATTTCCACTACTAACTAACTGATATAGCAAAAACATAGCATTAAGGCATGCAATACTCATTGTTAACTAACTTGTGACTAAATAGTAAAATCGTGGTATGAAACATGCATAACTGTAAAGTAAATATAAATCATGCACAATTACACAAAAAATAAGCAAGTGTTACATCAAACAATGCATAAACACAATACATAGTTTGAGGTTTGATCTTCTGGTTCAGTCTTTGTCAGCAACGGGACCAAATCGGTGATCAGCCTGGTACAAGAGTCTTTGAGTCAGGACCTGACTCACGTGGCTGCACGATCTGGTCCTCAGCTTGACAAACTAGTTCATCAACTGGGTGGGCCCAGTGCACAAGTCCCATGGTCCAATAGTTCTGGTATGCGTTCTTGTCTCTCAGCAAGACAAGGTCTTCTTCCTGTAAAGGAAACTGGAACCAAATCTGGAACAGAAAAACTGGAATCCAAAATTTCTCAGGAACAGAGGGAACTGGATTCACAGGATACTCAGAAACCGAAGAACCTGGAAAAACAGGAACAGCTGGATCTGGAAACTCAGGAACCGCTGGAGCTGAAGAATCAGGGTCAGGAACATCAGCTGGAACTGAAGAATCAGGAACAATAGGTGGAACTGAAGAATCAGGAACAACAGCTGGAACTGAAGAATCAGGATACTCAAGAACCAAAGTGTCTGGAACCACCGATGGAGTATTGAAGAGGGCTGCTACTGTTGTCATCAGGGTAGTGAGGACTTCATGTGTGGGTATGGATGTCTTTAACGACATAGAGTCCATGATTTTGCGGGGTGCACCAAACATGTGCTCCACGCTTCGCCTATGTACGCTTTGCCCATGTGAGATGCATGTGGAAGGAAATTTTTGGCCTTCAGATATTTGTCAATCACTGGGTCATGGCAAATGTCTCCAATGGTCTTTGCAGGCTCCTACAAGGCTAATTCTTGGGATGTTAAGACAAGCGATCAAGATGATCAAAACTATGCCTAATCTCAGGTGCTTCCGCCTAGAGAGGGGTTTGAAGCGGATTGGTTGTCGTTTACAGGGTGCCTGAGATTGGAGGTTGGCACGTTGATCTGGAGCTGGAAGTACATAGCGTTTTGGACTCTGTGGCATCTGTCTGTTTGGCCAGGCCAAGAACTCAGGGCTTTCTAGCCAGATCAATTCTGTTAACTATGTGGCAAGGTTGGGCCACTTCACTTGGTTAACAAAGTTCTTATTTGTTGGCACATGTTGCCATTGTTCAGGGCTTAAAGATGTTTCAATCCTTTTCACTCTGTTGTCTACATAGACATAGAAAAGTCTGCTTTGTTTTCAGATGTAGCTTGACATCACCTTGCTGTCTACGTAGAAGGTGGTAGACTGTAGATCAAGGCCCAACGCCTTCGCTGTCAAGTTGGTGAGCCTTACAGCCAAAGTGGTACCACATAGCTCTAACCTTGGTATGGTGTGGCCTACTTGTATTGTTAGTCTCGCTTTTCCAAAGAAGACACCGAAACTGCAGCTTTCCCCGCTGTAGACTCTGATGTATCTTATGGTTGCAATCAAGACGACGTAAGCGTGGCTCTCCCCGTTGTAGACTGTGACACAACTTAAGGTTGCATTTGCCTTCGTTGACACATCTAAGGAAGCGTACAATTCTTTCCTTTGCACTGTGGCGGGTAAGCTGGAGACATACGTGCGCTGCACTTGCATGCTTTGGAGACACCTTGGGAGTACACTCCATGATTCCCAGTCTTGTTTTTGTTCTGGTAGATGCGGCTCATCCCAGTTTGTGGTGTTCAGGGAGAACAAGCGTAGCTGCAGACATTGTTTGTCTTGTTTGACCTATATGGACAAAACTAAGTTGTCATAATTCTGACTGGTCTGGAACACTGTTGCTTCCAAAGCATGTTTGGTTTTCACGAGCGTGCAGTGTTCTAGGTGTGGTTTTAGGTGAGGTGTTGTTCCATTACTGGAAATGGAGGTTTTTGGGATGCTCACCTGGGCTAGGGTGTGCGATTGATCACCACAAACCGTCCCTCCTATGGCCCATCCAAGTTCCATCTTAATGGCTACTGGGGTTCCTGGTGGACCTTTGATTCTTTCATCAGAGCCAATGGACTCTGGGGCATCTTTTCCCACCATGAGTAGGATTTCAGCTTCAGGGTCTAGAGAAGGGATTAAATCAGCTATGTGTGCTAAGTGAGGTATTTTTCTTGCCACTTCTGGTGTTGAGATTTCGCTGCGAACATCTGGTAAGGTCTCCCATTCTAACTACTGATGGTAACCGGAAATGTGAGCTTCCGTCTATCGCTTCTATGCATAGACCAGTGATTTTCCTTCCCGTCGTGCATATTGGTACTGTGCACGTTTTTATTGCAAAGTGCTTCTGTTCACTCAGGAGGTCAAAGAGGTCGAAAAAGTCGGGCTTAGCTATAGTAACTTTGCTGTGTGGGTCTAGTATGGCATACACCTTTACGGCCCTTTCAGGATACCCATTGGGGTAGACTTTTGCAAGACAGATGGGTGAGCATGAAGGAGGGCATGGTGAGTCACCGCATATATCTGTGTAGTATGTCCCGTATAGTTTTGGCTGCCCTTCGGAGTCAGTTTGAGTCTCCATCGTCGAAGTCACTCGTTGCATCTCCTCAGAGGGCTTCTTAGTTTCTTGATGTAAGGCTGCTGGGTGTCTGTCACTGTTGCATAGGTAACATTTCACCCTAACTGCACAATCTTTGGCTATGTGATCTGTAGACTCACAGCACTTGTAGCATATCCTGTACTCCTAGAGCAGGGCCTTTTGCTCGTCCAGCGTTTTCCTTCCAAATTCTCTGCATTCATTTAGAGAGTGTGAAGACTTATGGAGTGGACAAATCAGGCCTCTTTTAGTTGGATGAGGGTTCGAACGAGCACTCCACGGTGTTCGTTCGTATGGAGGCTTCTTTGGACAAGGTGTGATCTCTGTTTTGTATACTGAAACAGTGGTTCTGTCCTTCGTGGCTTGGGAAGAACCTCTATTAGGGCCGAAGTTGTGACTGGTCCGTTTTGTTGTTGGGAATGAGTCTTTTGTTGGCTCGAAGTTGCTAGCATTACAGCGTAGTTTTGCTTGGTTGGTCACGAATTGAGCGAGGTGGTGGTGTATCAGGGTCCTGGCTCCTGTGAGTTTCTGATATTATGGCCCATTCCTCCCTTGACAGCTTTGGTAGTTTTCTAACTATAATCCTTTGCTTCTCAAACTGATCGAGGCAGGTGAGTTTCGGCATTTTGGACTGCTCACGAACTGAATGTAACATCGAGAGCGTGTCTGCGAATTCCAACATCTGGGTGTGATCGTTGATACTGATGTTAGAGAAGATATAAATACAATCCAAGAGCGAATTTTCTGTCAGTTCGTGCACTCCATACCGCTCGTCAAGCCTTTCCCAAGCCTTGAGAAGGGCAGTGGCTGGGTCACCTAGGTGGGCTAGTTGAGTGTTCTCTACTAATCATGCGGATGCTGTCCCAGCCATGTCTTTATGTATCCAAGCATTTCGCTTGGTGTTATTACTTCATCTTGGATGGCGGCCTTGAACGTCAGCTTCCACAATACGTAGTCCTTCCCCGGTTCATCGGAGAATTTGTGCACACCCTTGGATGCCACATCTAGTTTGCTTCTGTAAAGTCTTGAAGGAGTGTGGCTGGGTGGGATGGTACATCGCTTCCGGGAGCAGGGACACATGCCATGTCTGGCTGGTGCCTTCCTTCGGTGTATTATCATCTGAGGCCATCTTTCCATCGCGTGTGTGAGGGGCCTTGTTGGCTTGATTTGAATTCCTCTGCTCTGGCGTTGAGCTGAGGGGACCCGAGTCCTTGCGTGGTCGCTTTTTGGAGGGTTTCTTGTCTTTCAGGTGGCACATGGCTGGCTCCCTGGTAGGCTTGCACATCTGGTGGTCGAGAGTCTCCTCTGTGGTCAGGTCTGGTGGTGGTTCTTTGGGACGCTGACTCCTGTTGGCGCAGCAGGGACTCTAGTGTGGCTCGAGCTCTTTCAATCTCATCCCCGAGCGACGGCTGGTTCTGCTGTAGGGCCATTGGTGGTGCAGGTGCAGGTGGACCCATCTGATTGCCATCAGTGGTATGTTTCGGTGGGTACCGTGGGGTGACGTTGGAAAGATCTTGTGGCGCTGCCCGCTGTGTAGCCTTAGCCACTGCTGGTGGAGCCATCCGGTTGCCATCAAGGGTATGGTTCAGTGGGGCAGCGAAGGTGGGAAGATCTCATGACCTAGGTGTCGCGACATCAACTCTGTGGCTGACTAGCGCATCTGGTTGTTGGGATTCTTCTCTTCATCTACTCGGTCTTGGGGGGCTTGTGGCTGGCTGTGGCTCTCTCACCTGCTCACGCTGGAATACGCTTTGATTGTCTACGTAGGCCTGTACGCGGCTATGCCGCTCTTCATTTTCCAGTTGTTCCCTATTGGGCAGGAAAATGGTGTGCTGGAGTGTTTTCTGAAGGCCTTCTGCTCTAGCCATTTTGTCTGCCATATCTCGTTGGCTTTGAACAAATTCAAGCTCTTCTTGGGCGGCCTTTCTTTTGGCCTTCTTCTTAGTTGCTATAGCCTTTCGTTTGGCTTCCAGTTGGGCTGCTTCAGCTTCTTGCTCGTTATTCATTTTGAGTGCTTCAGCTTCTAGTTTGGCTTCTATTTCGGCTTCTTCAAGTTCTATAGCCGCCAGTTCCTTCTTTTTCTGCCGCTCCTCTTGTACCACATGGCAGACTGCTTCAGCAGCTTTAGCATCGATGATTGCTTGCTCTGCATGTGAAATTCAGGAAGTTCGGCTGTGACGAGATGACGCTTTCGAAAGGCGGGAGTCGCCTGTGACATGTGATTGTTGTGACACGCTGGAATGTGCCTTGGATATATGGCGAAAGGAGGAGGCTTTTTCAGACACGTGAGATGGAGCCGCATGCAACCGTTGGGATGGTGCATGTGAATGGCAGGAAACTTCGGACTCGGCCTTGTCGACCGTTCTGTCTCCCGGGCAAGGTTCAGGTTCTGGGAAGCATTGTGGGCTCTGTAGAAGCTTCTTACGCTCCTTGTTGAGTAGCTTGAGGCTTTGCATCTTGCCATCGACTCTTGAGTCTCTTAATTGCGTCTGAATGTCTTTGAGTTGCCGCTCATAGCCCAACCATTGCGCAAAGGCATTTTCCTTATCTCCTTTCACTGCATGCACACGTTCGGGGAAGAGTTCCTCCTCCTGTTCTTGGTAGAGTTTGTATAATCTCTCCCAGCATCTTTCATGGCACTTGTAGCTTGACTCCCATCTTTCCATCAATGTGAGTGCATGGCTTCTGTAGGCTTTCATTGTTGCCTCAGGTCATAGGGCACCTGGGATGTCTTTGGCCTCACTGAGGCTTGAGCATCAGCCTCTGTGTTCAGGTCAAGGTTGGCTGTTTGCAGCATTTCTCCTTGACCGGCTGGTTGGAGTGCCTCATCTAGGCTGGTTGGTTGAACCCCTTCATCTAAATCAACAAGACACTCTGCCATGGCTAGGGCAGGTTCAGCACACTTCCAAGCTATTTTGAAGCAAATTAGATGAACTTCTCTCTTTGACCACTAGAGGTCACTGCTTGCAGATCAGCTGCTGGGGTGTTGTCTGTGCGTGGAGGCGCCACTGGGTGCGTTCTCCTGCGTTTGCGGGTACTTCAGCATAATTCACCCTTTCACCACTAGGGGTCACTTCCTGAGGGTCAGCTACCTTGGTGTTCTTCCTTCGAGGTTCACCTTTTGTCCACTACAGGGCTTTCTCTGGGCGTGATTAAAGGCTTGCGTGTAGTTCCTCCTTTAACCACTAGGGGGCATCTGAAGAAAGGCCCGCCAAATTTTTTCCCATTACGTCACTGCTAATGGCCACTGAGAATGCAGAGCAGCACTCGTTCCTACAAACTCCCACGTGGTCATCACATTGCAGGCTAGAACCACTTAGTTATCAGCTCTGCGTGCTGATAAGCAAGGACAATTGCTGCTTATCCTTTTCCTTATTTCCCTCAAACTGGAACAACTTGGTCGTCAGCTTGAGTGAGTGATTACTTTTGGTGAGGTTCACTCTGTGCCCTCTAGGGGGTGCTTTTAGCTTGGCTTGGTATGAGCCTGCTGTCTGCTGAATTAATTATCAAGTTGTTGCAATCTCTTTAAATGGCAAGATTGCTAAAGAAAAAGAAAAAACAAATTGGCCACCAGGGGATGCTACTGCATTGCTATTGGGATCTCTGAACACCGGCTTCCCAATTGGGATGGTTAAAATTCCAAAGGGAGGGGGAGTTTAGCTTCTTTCACCAATGCTGTGGCTGGGTGAAGAGGTTAATTGCCTTTTTATTGCTCTCCTTGGTGGCAAGGAATTTAGTTGGTGACGAGCCGCATTTAGTTGAGAGTTGATTGTCTGCTTCTGTTGTCTTGCGATAGAAAGGTTTCTTGCAATTGAATAACACTTCCTCTAGCATTAAACAAAGGCATCAGAGGTGTGCTCAACCTTGAATTTGCCAGCCAAGAAACTTTTTCAGCCTGCTATGTTTGTTTAAAAAAGGTCAGATTCATGCATTCCAAAACATCCCAAAACAAGCTAGTTGAATTCACGTGCTAATGACAAAGCTCTTCTTCAAGACTTACTGAAGCAGTTACAACACCCACTGCTCCTTCGCTTTACAAGCAAACTGAGTTGAGTTCACAGACAATCTTTGAAACCATCCCCTCATTGCCTCAAGATGTTTAAACTGCCGGCAAAGGAAGGGGGGTTGCTGCTCACAACTCCTTTGATCCCTTCAAATGCAAGAAGTCACAGAAAGAGTAGGGCTATAGAGATACACAACGCTTTCTTTACTTCAACAAAGAGAAATGCATGCAATCGACATTAGCAACTGTTTGAAAGTGGCTGAAGGCTAAACTTTTCCTGAGATAGACAGCAAAATATCTCTTTGATTTAAACGTTGGTTTGTAACAGATCCAAAGGTAATTTAGCAGAAGTATCCAAACAAGACATGAAGCACTTTTATAACCTTTACATTAAAATGTTGGCTAGCATGCAGAATTTGACTAGCAATGATTCCTTGCCAGCAGATGCTTGTCAATATGCAGATAAACTTTATCATTCAGATCAGAAGTGACTAGCAGAGTTAACAGCGAATTAACAAAACAATGCATCTGAATCACACCTTCTTTGAAACGCTGTCTGCCAAACAGAAACACTGACTTTACTTTGCAGTCGTTTAGTGGGAGACTGGCCCCATCAAATTACTTTGCCTTTATAAAGCTGATATGAACTCTGAGCATTCTTCTACTTGCAAAAAAATCTTTACTTCCATAAGGGCTGATGTAGAGAAAGACCAATAATATCACTTTCCTTCCTTCAAACCGTTGCAGGAGGTCAGAGGAAAATTCACCACCATCAATTTACTATTCTGCCCAGACAGATCAGGTTGCCTTCAGTTCCAGCTGTTGTTCCTGATTCTTCAGTTCCAGCTGTTGTTCCTGATTCTTCAGTTCCAGCAGTTCCTGAGTTTCCAGCTCCAGCTGTTCCTGAGTTTCCAGATGTTCCTGATTCAGATTCTTCAGTTCCAGCTGTTCCTGAGTTTCCAGATCCAGCGGTTCCTGTTTTTCCAGGTTCTTCGGTTCCTGAGTATCCTGTGAATCCAGTTCCCTCCGTTCCTGAGAAATTTTGGATTCCAGTTTTTCTGTTCCAGATTTGGTTCCAGTTTCCTTTACAGGAAGAAGACCTTGTCTTGCTGAGAGACAAGAACGCATACCAGAACTATTGGACCATGGGACTTGTGCACTGGGCCCACCCAGTTGATGAACTAGTTTGTCAAGCTGAGGTCCAGATCGTGCAGCCACGTGAGTCAGGTCCTGACTCAAAGACTCTTGTACCAGGCTGATCACCGATTTGGTCCCGTTGCTGACGAAGACTGAACCAGAAGATCAAACCTCAAACTATGTATTGTGTTTATGCATTGTTTGATGTAATACTTGCTTATTTTTTGTGTAATTGTGCATGATTTATATTTACTTTACAGTTATGCATGTTTCATACCACGATTTTACCTATTTAGTCACAAGTTAGTTAACAATGAGTGTTGCATGCCTTAATGCTATGTTTTTGCTATTTCAGTTAGTTAGTAATGGAAATATAAATTTCAAAGCGGGGAGTGTTCTGGATCGTATAGCTCTATGTAACCCTAACTAGAGAGTGTGTATCAGTATGTTAGAATATCTGGCATTTATTGAATTAAGTGCTGTTGTTTAGCTAGTCAGTCATCTCATGTTAATGGGTCATTGGGAGGAGTTTCTGAGTTCTTCTCAGGATATACTGGCTACGTGCCCAGTTTGGAATGTCTTTGTTCGTCCAGCCTCATGTCTCCTAGCCACAGCTTGGAGGTTCTATGCCAACATGTGATGCTTATGCAGAAGAAGAGGCTAAATTCATCATCATTTACCTATGGAAATGAACAGATGAGTAATATACAGAAGAAAGACAACACAATCTCAAGTATTTCCTCTGGATAAACATATTTATCTGTTTTGCAATTATTTCTATCGAGTTATCTATCTGTCCTGGATTGAACTGAAGGCAACCTGTTCTGTCGGCTTGGAGGTTCTATACCAACATGTGATGCTTATGCAGAAGAAGAGGGTAAATTCATCATCAATTTACTATTCTGCCCAGACAGAACAGGTTGCCTTCAGTTGAATAATAAACTGAATAATTAGCAACAAATTTTATGTGTCTTTGATCAGATTCTCTTTAGATTTATCCTATTTGAGCTTATCTCTGTAAACCAATGTAGGCAGTCTTAGTCCTCAAGTTATGACTGTAATGCAGCCTGCCCATTGCAGTCACAAGTTGTGATAGTAATTAATCAAGGCATTCATGTGATCACCTTGCTTAAGAACTCCAATTGCTGCTCTCTCTGTTGTAGACATTAAGTGGCCACATGGGCTGTCAAGTGAAGAATGGGGTGTCTCAGGAGTAGATGGACCTGAGAGCCCTAGCGCAGATTCAATTTGCACTGTACTTTCCCAGCTCACACATGGCCTTCCCTGGACCTCCCCTACCTTGAGGCAACCCTTGCTCAGCTTCCTGTCCCAGTAGGTTCCCGCAGGTCTTGGGCCTGCTTTCCCACCTGAGTCCCTGCAGGCCTTTGGCCTGCTTCCCACTCCACTGGGCTCCACACCCTCCTCCCTATCCCCCATCATGATTCACTACCTTTTCCATTAATCTCCTTCAGCAAATAATGGTCTTCCTACACAGAGGCCACATGGAAGTAGGCAACATTTTGGGAGCAACTGCAAGATTTTTGAATTTTCCAAAATGATGCCTGCTTACAGGATGGCACTATGCAACATACATAATATATAGGGAGGCTAGCTCTCCTTTCCAAAGATGATCGCCAGGATGTCAGTTGCCAAGCTCCTAAATTGCAATCACATGATTAGAAATGTTGTAAGAGCCATAATTATGAGGACTGGTCATACTTCAGACATTGGGCTGATTAAGGAAATTTCCTTTCCTTTCCTCAAGCTGCAAGGCATACAAAGGAAGCAAGGTAGCCAATCAATATGAAATATTTGGGATTGAGATATATTCAGCACAACCATCAATCAATTTTTATTGCTTTTCAAGAATGTCTAGCAAGAACTTATGTTTCAGACTATAAGGATTTTAAGACTTCCTATTGTTTTTTAAATTCTTTCTATATGCTTCCACCACCAGCAATTGCTACTGCTCTGTGAGTTCTACTATAATACTAATCATGGCTAAGTGGGATCTCTTTATCTGTGTATAATTCCAAGGAAACCTGGATAGTCCTATACTGCAAAGGGAGATTATATAGTATGAATTTTACAGAGAATGGCAGGCAGTAGTTCTAAGATGGCTGTGATACATTAACAAAATTTGGACAAGGCAAAACTATGTACAAGCAGGATTTCCTTTGGGCTAAGACCAAATTATTACATGCAGAATTTCTATATTTTCTCTTCCTTTGAAATATTTAAAATACAAATTTATGGTCAGGGAAAATTATGCAGCAAAAAGATACATGCATTCATAGTGTTCATTTGCAATCTAGAAACATATCATTCTCTGCTCAAGGATTCAGCAATTGACAATAAAGACTATATAACTTAAGATGCATGTAAATTGTTTAATGGTTTCTTTGTAAATATCAAGTATCAAATAAATTACCTTGGAGACAGTATAAATAAAAAGTGTACATCTGTTCATGTAGTCAGTTAATTAGAAAGTCAATCTGTGTATAAATCTTTGTAGAATCCACAGAATTCCGTGTCAAGTGTACTTAGTCCTCTATCTGAATGAAAATTTGCTTACATAACTTTCAAATGGAAAATAAGCTATTTTCCTATTGTTTGAACCTCTTAAACTGTAGGGAGAGCATATTTGACAGATGAAAACTATACACAATGCCTTTTAAATTTTCTTTTCTATCATTTAGTTTAGAAGGCTAGTTTAAATCCAGCAAATTGTCTATTCTTAT